AAATAAATCAGTTTTTTTTCTTGTAAAAGGCCAAATAAAACAAAAATATTGGTGGTAATTTTTGACTGTAAAACGTTACAAACGGCAGCCCATATTACTCAGCTGCAACTTATGAAAAATAAAACAGCACATGTTTTAGCTTGTTGAATCGGAGGAGGTTCAATAAACAGAACAGGTTTAGAAGACATCGATGAAGCTGAAAGAAAAAGGCAGCCCTGACGCAGGAACTGACCTTCCATCTCTCGGTGCATTTAACCACATCTGCAGGAAGATACTCAGCGATCCATTCTGTGTGCAGAAAGCCCTCGGGTGACTGAGCTTATGGATAAGTGGCTGAGCGTTTGTGTTTGACTTCAGCTCTGTTTGTGTCGGGGAGCTGAAAACACGGAGCAGCTGACTCAAACAAGCTCTGAAAGTGTTGCTTGGGTGTAAAAAGAAAAAAAAAGAAAAACTTGCTTATCTACAAACACCATATCCATGATGCTGCGGTAGTTTGCTGATGGCTTTATGTACAGTTTTACATGATAAATGATCCATCCTGAGGCGTGGACAAGCAGGAATCCTCTCCTGCTACACAGAACAGGTTGTAGAGAAAATTGTCTCATTCCTCAACGTCAACTAAAAAGAGCAGAACGTGAAAAATAAACTGTTGAAACGAGGAGATTTGGGCGACCTCAGAGAGATGGGACTCTGGGAATTGAGGAAATGAAAATCCATTCAAATCAAATTTGTTAAGAAAATAACTGAGTGAAACTGGAGCTCTTGAAATATTAGAAAACCTTCGTTTATCTGAGGGACTTTAAACTGGCAGCATCACAGGGACAGATGGCGGTCAGGTGAGGATTACACGGACCCTCAGATTAAACTTTCACTCGTCTAATCCTTATTAGGTCCCACATATCACAGCAAGGTGTATAAACACACCTGCAAGTAAACGCTTACCAAAACACTGCTTTTTTTCAGCTCTAATAAGCAACCGCATTAAAAMAATAAACAGAAAACACACACAGGGTGAGACAGAGCTGCAGGTCTAATCCCTTCACCTGTGCAGAGGAACAGGTTGGTTAGCAGGCCGGGTGCATGATTAGCCTCAAGTGCTTAACATTCAGCTTTGAAGAGCWCGTTGAACAAACCGATTAGGACATTTTAYAAGAAAGAAGGCACAAGAAAATCCAGCCTTTATGACTTCTGCCTAATGGACAATAAGTGTTTGGGACATAGAGTGGATTGACAAGCTGYAGGGTCATAAAAACAAATCAAACGCAACAGGAGAAACAATATTTAGTGTGAATGCTGAGTGCCGGCTGGCTTTAGGGAAGCTGAAACTGAGACGTTAAAGCTAAAAAAGGCAGAACGCTAAAGTGAAAAGAGGCAAACTTGATGATTAAAGCAGCAAAAGGCTTCACTAAAAGCTAAAYATAGCAAAAATAGAACCTTATGAATTCATGCACAAATATTTAAATTTAATTTCAGATTCTGTTTGCAGTCTTTGACGAGCTAAATTTAAAACAATTTTTTTTTATGTTTTTGTACTTGTTCTTGCATTGCGACACTTCCTGTCTCTATTTCACMATCACAGCATCGTCTTTTCCAAAACAGCCACGGGACGGACAAAGACTCCACTGTCAGGATGTTGGCCCCCCAAAAGAACTGCAGCAGACAAACTCTTCAAAGACTACTTTATCAAAGGAATAAACAATAAAATGTATAAAACATGAAGAAATTATAAACAGTAATAAAAATATACTTTTTAAAAAAAATCTATTTCTTCAAAGTCCAGTCGTGTTTCCAGGGGTTTTCTCGCAGCRCGTTGAATCTTCTTCATCCGATCCTCTTCACGTTTGTCGTATCTGTGATCTGCATCCGTACAAAACGTTAAAGCCAAGCGGGCACGACGGGGGCTCCGTTCCTCGCTTAACACCTGTGTGGGAACACCAGATGAAGACGAGCGCTCGCGCCCAACACGTCTTCATTAAGGATGACTCGGCACATTAATCTCACTAATGGAGGGTTTGCTCGCCCCTCTGTCAGCTGAAGGTTACGGAGCTGCTTGTTTAAACGGCTGCAAAAAGTCAAGATGGCTGCGAGCAGCAGGCCTCATTAAGCCGCAMACAGATCCATCTGTCAGGCGCCAGAAACAGGAGTGAGTTGTGTCTTTTTTTTTATTTCTGGGCTTGATTTGAATTTTGTGTTTGCTGCTGTTCCTGTGTGGAAGTTTTCAAAGTTGGAAAGGATGTTGAGTTTTTTTTTTAAAATTCAGATTCCTTCTGTTTTTCTTTTCAGTTCCTTGTCTGTCCCGTAGCACATCAGGTTTTAAATTCACGCACCCAGAACAATAATTCTGTCTCTCTTTTCTCTAATCGTAACAGTTTGGACTTCCTGTCACGTCGGGCTGATGGAAGATGTTTTAACAAAAACAGCAGGCACACAAAGGAGGACTTCATATAACCTCAAAGATTTAAAATCTCCTAAAATAAGAATTTATAAGTTGTATGTTTATTATTTTATTATATATTTATTCATCTCACACTTGACAAAGTGTCCCCTTTAAAAGAATCTGCTTCTGATTGCTCCATTTTAATTCCCTTCTTGTGCTTTTTGGGACGTCTTTTCATGAAGAATTGACAACATCCAGCTTGTCGCATCCTGAGCCAAACCCAGAATAATCCCCCTCCGTCGTTGCCCTCTACTGCGTGCTATTTGCACACGAACTGGTCCACGAGCGACGTGCAGCGCTTGCACTTGACGTAGCAGCACCAGTGGAACTTGCAGTGGCAGCGCTCGTGCTTGTAGGTCTTGAACTGGTCGTAGCCCCGGCCGCAGCACATCAGCTCGCAGCCGTCCATGCCCTCCGACGTTTTGTTGCAGAGCCGCCCGTGCGTGCCCAGCGAGCCCGTGGTCTCGTTCCGGAGGCAGTAGTCCGGGCTCGGGTCGATGTAGACCACGTCCTCGGGCGTCGGGTTGTTGAAGCGCTTGTCTACGAGCTCCAGCTTTCCCTTCAGCAGGATGAAGAGAGACCACTGAGCAACATTTCAAATGKTTTTTTTTWAAAAACAGATTAGCATCAGCGGCGTGTACCTTGCGACTGATCCTCATGGCTGCGGCGCTGTCGTACTTCTCTTTGAGGAACTCTCCCACCCGCCTGAAGTCAGCCAGCTGGAGCCAACAGGTTTTCAGGCTGCAGGAGCCRGAGACTCCGTGACACTTACAGGACACATCAGCAAGTTTGTAGACCGCCTGGAGGAGAGGCAGAGACATGCAGAGTTATGAATTGAAAACTTTTTGTTAGAATTATCTCTTAGGAATGAAATAATAATAAAAAAACTCATAATATAAAGGAGAGTTGACAGTTTGAATCAAATGTTTTTGGAAACTTTTGCTGTGCTGATGCTGCCCTCTAGTGGTGAACACCTGTTGTTACACCTTTAAATCTAATAGATGTCAGATATTATAAAATTATATTTTACAAATCTTTCATGGCTGCAGATGAGAGAAGCCAAACACAAAAACAAACTGACTCGTTTACATCTATTTTAGGGATTGGCTTATGTTGATTAGCTGTGGTGGCCATCTTGAATTGGACTGAATCCAAAAGTGAATAAGTTACCAACTGATTATTTTTTGCGAGTTTCATTCATATTTATCCACTGTTTCATAAGATATTACACTAACAAACACGCATGACAAAGAAAGAATAATGAAAGATATAAACATGTTTTATAGTAATTTACTAAAASAAAATTGAGTCTTTTTCAGAAAAGCCTCGAGTATTTCAGCAAAACTAAATGTTTGAGGTGTTCTTCTGGGAGCTAAACTTCCGATTGTTGAGAAGTTCAAATATAAAAACTTTTGTTGCATTAATTTAAAACCAAAAAACAAAGCTTTAAACTCAAAGAAATGCCACCACTTTGTGTTCTTTTAGAGTTACTTTGCTAAATTATTTTTCAAAAACTCAGAAGGTTATAAAGTATTTGGGAACATATGGCTTTGTTTAAAAAAACAGAACAGGAAGTAGGCGATTTATGATCTCTGCAGCAGTAAACCCTGCAGCTTTACCAGGTCACTTAAACAACATTTAATAAACACTCATAAAAAATGCACATAAATCACTAATCGAGCACGTTCGATTTCCTTTTAACATCTTCACTTCTTGGTGAATCAATTAGCTTTGATTCCTAATCCTCACTTTTGAGCTAATGAAGTCCATCCTCTGTCTGCTCACGCTGCCTGATCACAATTACCTTTTCACCTCTGTTAACCTTCGCAGCACACACCCCTGACCCCCGGCTCCCACCCTCTGCTCCCCATCCTCTACTTTACTACCCAGCAGGCATAGCAGTCAGCACCCTCCAATCCTGTGAGTCGACCCCGCTGACCCCTTCAGACTGAAACAAGGAACAGGGGACAATGACATTTTGTGGAAAAGTTAAAAAAAAGTCTAATTGATAGTTAAACACATTTATTACTAACGGGTATACCTTATACACACGTCGATTAAAAGGTGAAAGGYGATATTCAATCGTTTAAGGAACGCTACGTGTTTCGATAAAACATATTACTGTCAAATTCTAACAGCGTGTGTGCACCCAACTGTTTGGTTCTGACATGCCTTTTGGGCACAATGGACCTCATACAAGAACATGTTCGTATTCTTCTCCTAAATTTCTCTTACTTTTGTTCGTACAAAGGGTTCGTACGAACATGTCACGTCAGATTCAACAAACTCTTCTATCTTCAGGAAAAGTGTGTAAATGAGCTGCGTAATTTCCACCCCCGCGCTGCGCAGGCGCAG